GGCCCTATTCTGCCGGGTCGGCGTACAGATCAATGACGAAGCCCTACTCGACCTACAGCAGCCAGGGGCCCGCAGCGCGTCCCTCGCTCTCCCCCTCGACGGCGGGCGGCGTGCCGCTGCCCCCGACGCTGCCGAGCCTCTCGGCGGGCGGACGTTCGTTGCCCCCGCTCCTCGGAACGTTTGGCAGCCGCGCCATGCCTCCCTCGCTCAGTCGGCCTACGCGTCCGATGACGCCCGACGAGCAGCGATGGCACCACCACCAGCAACAGCAGCAGCAGAGGGAGCAGGAGAGGTAGACGACGCCGTACCGTCATCCTTTTTCCCCTCCGTCCCTGCTGAAGATCGAGATCCGTCTTTCTCCCGTCCTCTTTTCTCTTTCGCGCACCGATGGTTGTATGAGTAATCAATCGCCGCGATGGGTTGGATCTTTCCTCCTTCTCCTCTCCCGCGCCCCCCTTCCCTCTTCTTCCCCCGCCTTGCCTGCCTTGTTGTATTCCAGAGTACCGAGACCGGATCTGCAAAATCGTGTACCTGCCCTGTCCTGGCCGTGCGTGTGCTCTCTGTCTGCTCTTCTGCCGCCGCTGACAGGACCGTCACCGACTGCCAGTCGCCTGGCAGAAGCAGGGCGGGACAAAAAAAAGTGATCTCTCCCAGGCTCGAACTGAGGACCTCCTCCGATTAATCAGGCGTGCGGCTCCAGGCTACACAACTTGTTAAGGAGACGCGCTGACCAACTGCGCCAAGAAACCATTTGATGTCGATTTACGAAATGTTGCAAATATATACTAAGAGATTACAGAGGCAGATTCAGGCTGGCTGAAGCCTTACCCACAACCAACGATCGCTCAGCGCGCACGCAACCCAAGGAGTGATAGCATGCATGCATTGCAAAGGGTCAGAGACCGGAGGCGGTAACGGTAACAAGCAGGCGAGGTGGCATGCAAGCAAGAGGATGGCACGACGCTACGACGAGGGCGCGGTGCAGCCGCCCCGGGTGGTCGGGTTGGCCGCCTCGGGGTTGGGCGTGGCGGCGCCCGAGGCCGGAGCGCTGCCGTCGCCCTCGACGCCGTCGAGTCTCCTCTTTTTCCGCTCGGCCTTGTCCTCGTTGTCCCTGGCCAGCTGCTCGCGCCGCTGGGTGGTGTCGAGCCTCTTGGGTCCGCCCTGGGCCGTGAGGATCTCGACGCCCGTCTCGGTGATGAGCAGCGTCTCCTCGAATGCCGCCGAGCGCAGCCCGTCGACGGTCGAGACGGTCCAGTCGTCGGGCCAGCTGAGGTCCTTCCAGTTGCCCTGGTTGATCATCGGCTCAATGGTAAAGATGTGGCCCGGCTGCATGATGCCGTACGCCTTCTTGGTGCGGTGGTGGTAGACGGTCGGCGCGCCGTGAAAGACGCGGCCGATGCCGTGGCCCGTGTACCGCTTGACGACCGACAGGCCCGAGGCCTCGGCGACGGGCTGGATGGCGTTGCCGATCTCGGCGTAGGGCACGCCCGGCCCGCAGATGGCGATGGCGGCGTCGAGGCACTCGCGCGTCACCTTGATGAGCTTCATCGACGCCTCGTCCGCCTTGGCCTTTTCGCCGACGGGGTAGGTGCCGTTGAGGTCGCCGTGGAAGCCGTGGTGGAAGAGAGTGACGTCGAGGTTGATGATGTCGCCGTCCTCGAGCGGGCGCTTGTCCGGGATGCCGTGGCAGATGATTTCGTTGACGGAGCTGGGCGCCATGGAGCAGCAAATGGGGGCGGAACATGTCAGCTGGCGGTCCTCGCGGATGCGGGCTAATCCAGGCTAAGGCGAGCGGAGAGGACTCACGTGCAGACGCTCTTGGGGTAGCCGTGATAGCCCAGCGGGCTAGGGTAGCAGTCGCGCTTGATGGCCTCTGCAAACACAACCTTGTCTATCTCGTCGGTGGTGATTCCGGGCCGGATATGAGACGCGGCGATGTCGAGCACCTCGCGCGCCAGCTGGATGGGGTCGGGGTGAGCGGGATGCGGCGGGCCATCAGCACGCGAGCTCCGGGCGAAGGTCCTGTTCGTCAGTCTGTCGGCCGGACTCACAATGGCAGCCTTCCTTACGCCATCCTGATCCGCTGGCGGGTTGACACGGATGTTGCGGGACTCGAGGAGCTGCAGGGTTGCAAGGTTCATAGGGCCAGGCTCGAGGCGATGTCAGTACCGAAGCGCTTTGCACCAGGTGCGCGCGAGACAGGGTGGCAGAAGCCGAGGAAACGGAATGCGAGGGCGAGCGCTGACCTGCCACCAAAACTGCAACCACATCCTTACCCCTTCCCGTGCGTAGTTTGGCTTTCGGATCGACGGCGGGACCTTGGACTTTGGCGCGAGCGGGTAGACGGCCTTGACGCTGCCGGCGTACTTGAAGCCCGGCGCATCCTCGAACGGGTCAAAGGTGAAGCTGCTCGACGGAGCGTCGTTGTTCTTGGTCGTTGCAGTCGGAGACATGGTGGCAGCTTGTGTATGAGGGACGGACAAAGGAGCGGAGTAGGGAGGGCGAAGTCAAGTGAGGAAGGGAGAAGTGGTGGAGAGCCGGGAGGCAGGCTCGGCAGGCGTGGGCCCGGCCCCTCGACTTCCCCGCCTTGAAATTTCTGCAGGGCTGCGCTATCCGACTCCCGAGGCGAGGCGGACGCCGCTTGGCTTGCAGGCGCGCCCTGGCAGGCCCGGCCTGGCAGCCGACAGCACAAAGGCGCACGACCACAACGGGCCGTCTGGCCGCCCAACGCGCGCGTCTACCCTACCAGACACCATCACCACCTCCCGCCTTCCACTCCTCGTCACACTCCCTTCGGACTCCAGCTAGACTCGCAGCCTCTTGGTCTACTCTCAGCTTTTCGCCCACTATGTCCTCTCGTCTCCTCAACCAGTCGCTCGGCCAGCTCGGCCAAAAGGATCGTCGGGCGGCTCCCGGCGGCGGTTCCTCGCGCAACTCGCCCTACAACGTACGTTGACGCGCCTCGGACTTCCCGCTTCGTCTCTTCTCCGCCGGATCGTAGCCGGCTGCTTCCCGACACCGCCCCATCTCGGCGGACGATGCGTTTCTCCGCTTGCAAGCAAGCCGTCCTTCCCGATATTGATCGCAAGCCTGCGCCGGATCTTGCCCCCCACCCCTCGTCTTGCCCTTCCCGGTTCTGACTGCAGCGACCCGACCGAAGCTCGAGCGGATCGGATGGAGCGTGGAAGCACGATATGTTTGACGCGCACAACGCCGCGGGCGCCAGGGGGAGGGGTCCTCGCGGCGGGCCAGGCTCCGCGGGCGCCTCTCTCAAGCCCACCGCCAAGCTGACCATCGACAACCTTCACTACGAAGTCAGCGATGACGAGCTGCGTGATTTGTTCGAGCGGATCGGTCCGGTCGTCAAGGCCTTCATCAAGGTGGGTTGCTCTATCCGAGATGGACGGGTCGCCGTGTTTCGGGTGCTGACCCGCAAGCCTCCCTTGTTCTCTCTCCTCTGGCTGCTGAACGCCAGTACGACCGCTCTGGCCGATCGACCGGACAAGCCGTCGTCATCTACGAAAGTGCAGACGATGCCGCAGCCGCCAAGGGAGAGTACGATGGCGCGAAAGCCAAGGGCCAGGTCATCACCATCACGCAGGAGATGCGCGCAGAGCGCCCACCGCGCGGCAACGCGTCAGCGGCAGCAGCGGCAGACGGCTCGGGCGGCAAGGATCTGTTGTCGCGCTTCGACCTCTTGTCCCGGATGGGAGGGTGAGTCGAATTCTGCAGTGTAGCCAGAGATGGACGCACGCATGCCGCCCAGGTCCGGCACGGTCTGACTCTCGCTTTCCCTTGACTTGCTGCTTCTCCGTCGTCACAGACCGAAACCGGAGGCGCCGCGCAACGCGCCCAGGGGACCGGCTGCCGACTCGGCGCGGTCATCAGGCGGTGGACGCGCGTCGGGTCGGCCCGGTCCGCAACGCAGCGTCAGCGGAGGTGGGAGGCAGCAGTCGACGGGACGCAGCGGTGGCCGCGAGAAGCGCAAGCCCGCGACGCAAGCCGACCTCGACGCCGAGCTCGAGGCCTTCATGAAGGCACCGCCGGGTGCCGCAGCGGCAGCGCAACCCGCCCAGCAGCCCGCAGCGCAGCCCGCTCCTGCCCCTGCGCCCAACTCGACGGCCGCCTCGATGCACGCCGTGCCGACCGAGGACGTCGAGATGTCCTGATCCGCCTCATCCCGTCAAGCTCTACCTGAGACTCGGCCCCATTCTCAGCCTCGAGTCCATCTTTTCGTTCTAAGCGCCACTCATCCTCTTATCACTATGGCCGTCGATCAATCGAATTCATCGAGCGATCTCCCCAGCTTCGACCCCACGATCCCATCCGTGACTCCTCTCGCGCTCGGACTCCAAGTGTCCTTCGCAATGATGGAGCTGGCGTTCCGTCTCGACTCAGCTCCAAGCGAGCACCGACCAGTCCGGGACCTCTGGCAATCTGGGCAGAGCTCCCTCTGAGCGACTGCTGGTGGAGAAGCAAGAGCCTGACGGGCGACTTCCAGCAGGATCCGTGACCGTGGACTTCGCGCAGCGAGTTTGTTGCTCGTGCCCATGCTCGAAGCAAGCGCTCCTCCTCCTGGCGCTAGGAGCAAGGCTCACGTCGAAGATGACCGAAAGCTGCCCGGCAAGCGTGGCGGCGAACGGGATCCCGCTTTTGGCCTTGCAGTCCCGGCCACTCACCCGCAGCCTCACCGAATTGTCTGGCTCGAGTGAGAAGGCTCGAAGGTAGGGCCCTCCATGGCTACGGGAGTGGACGAGGGTCAGGTGGGTCGACTCGCTGGCCAGCGGATGCGTGCCGAAGACGAGTGGCTGGTCGGTTCCTGCCCTCATGAGGCCCCGGCCACGCTGCTTCGAATTTCTGCAAAGAGCGAGCGAGCGAGCGCGAGGGCATCGGCCCAGGCGCGTCCAGCCTGGGAGGGTGGCCGGCCAAGCTCAGTCCAAAGCAGCCCGTCCTGCTTCGACCTGCGTCTCTTCCGCCACATCATCACCACCCGCTCCTTCCAACCCCCTGCCGCCCTCGTCATCTCCTCCAAGCATCCCTATCCATCGGTCCATCGGTGCCTCAGTCTGCTCTCCAGTCGCCACCCCCAACGCCTCTACCGCCACGCCCCACTGACCGATCCCCTCCTACTTTGGACCCACCAGCTGGCCTCGCCATGACGTCCAAGCGCGCTCCTCGGGTCGCCACCTCGGCGTCGGCAAAGCGACAGAAGGCCGGCAGCAAGGCCGACGCTCCCCCGGCAGCCACCCCGGCGCCCGAAAAGACCCTCTACCTCGTCTTCAAGAGGTCTCGCGAGCCCGGCGTCGAAGACTGCGTCGACCGCATCCTCGCCACAGCCTACCTCACAACCGAGGCGCAGCGCAACGGTTACGCGCAGTACGCACAGAAAAAAAGGGACGCGGCCAAGACCACGGCCAATTCGGCGACGAGGGTCCACGCAGAGGCCATGGAGAGCTACATCGCCGAGGTCGAAGCGGCGAGAAAGGCCCACGAAGCCAAGCTGAAGGCGGCGAAAGACGCAGCTCAGACCGCCGGAACTCGCCAGGGCGAGGCACCGACCTCTGCCCCGGCCACGGTCACCACCACCGCGCCTCCGGCCGCTTCCCAGGCGCAGAGCGATTCGGCGGCGTCCTCCGATGCCGTCAAGGAGGCGTCTCAGCCTGGCGCCTCGCAAGCTGGCCCTCAAGACACCGCCGCTGGGAGCCTGGCGGGTCACGACAAAGCCGACAACAGCCACAGCGTCGCTCCCGACCGAGAGAGAGGCAAGCCGGAAGGCAGCAAGGACGGCAGTGACGCTGCGGACGAGGACGAAGGAGCCAGCGGCGACGAGGCCGAGTTCGAGAAGAGAATCGCCGAAGAGCGACGTCTCCTTGGCGAGCCCATCGGCGAGCTCCAGGGCTGGATCATGTATCAGGACGCCCCGTCGATGCGTGGCCTCGAGCGTTTCGAGACCTTCGACAAGCCCGGCCGCAGCACGCTCGCCCTAGCCGTCGAGCTGTTCGGGCCCGAGGGCTCTTCCCGCGTCCCATCGTGCCCCGACTTGGCCAACGGTGGCCTCTTCGTCATCGATCGAGTCCGCGTCGAGCCCGAGCACCGCAGCCGAGGCTACGGCATGCGCTTGGTCCTGGAGACGATGGCCAACTACCTCCTCTATTGGAGAACAACGATCGTCCTGCCGCTTATCCTCGACTCGGCCTCGACCAGGGCAATGACTGAGGAGCAATACGGCCAGGCGAACCGCCGCTTGGCCGACGCCTTCCGCCGCAACGGCTTTGCACCTCTGGGCGCGACACGCTACCTGATCCAAGACAGGCGGGGGTTCGTAAGCGGCTTCAAGAGCTTCCCTGCCAGCCGTAGGCCCGCCGTCGTCGTGGCATCTCCGCCGCTCTGCTGCTGTGAGGGCGGCCTGAGCCCTAGAATGAAGGCTGCGCTCCGGGCCTCGGCAGAGCTCTCTTTCGACCTTGCGACCGACGCGCTCGACTGGCTGGACCCGAGGACTGGCGACGACTTCCTGGAGCCACTTGCCTTCCTGCCGCCCTTCATGACGCTCACGAAGACCCATGTCAAGGGCTTTGTGCACATCCTCGGCACCGTCGGCGGCATGTGCAAGGACGGCGTGACGCCGGACCCGGCCGCGATCGAACGCTGGCTGGACGAAAATCGCTTCTACAACTGGAAGGAGTCGTGGGCATGGGCCCAGTGGAGGAATTTCGTCAAGGACGGCGGTAGCGTCGTCGACGTGCTCGATTTTCTGATGCACCGCGTCGAGGCGGGCACCGACATCGGACTCGAGTTCCCCGACGGGAAGCCACTGCGCAAGGACAAAAAGAGCCTGACCTGGCTCGACGCCACCCTGCCCCTGTGCCGGGAGCACGACGACGACTTCGAGGGGCTGCGCCATCGCTGGTGGTCGGAGTGCGGCCGGCCGGCCTCGATCCGCGGCCCGTACCGCGGCTATCTCGTCGAGGAGTCGCTCGACGAGGGTGGCCGAGCCAAGGCTCTGGATGAAGTCCCAGTCAGCCTCCTCCTGCGCTACGAGCGCGAGAACGGCAAGTTGCCCGCGTGGGTGCCCGAGGCTCTGGAGCGAGCGGAGCGAGCTGCAGGGGCTTGACTGCGGGAGGGGTCCGGGAACGCCACGAAGCAGGGGGTGATGCAGGGGCGGCGACAACGTATGCACAGGGACGCACGGCACAGCTCGGTACGGCACAGCATGGCATACGACATCAGGACGGGCAGGCGGGCAAACGACAATCGAGGGGCGCGACAGGGCCCCTGAGGCAAAGCGGTAACAGGCAGGATCAACCAACATCGTATCCAGGCCAACAGTACTACTGCGGAGATTGAGGCGAGTCAGGGTCGCGTTTGGCGCCCTCGCTGCGGACCGGCAGCCGGAGCGCCACACTTTGCAACGAGATTTGAAGCAAAGCGGCGAACAAGCTAGCGAGACTTGGCTGCCAGCATTCAACAAGCGACGTGCGACTATCGTTCAGCGCATCGACCGCATGTCACGGAACGATTCGAGGGCGATGGACTCGGCAGCCGCGGCGTGCATGTATCGACGAGCCAACGAGTCGAGCGCAGACGGATGAACGCGATTTTCATTCGGCTTTGGGGTGAAGCAGAGACTGTACGGGGATGGGAAAGAGCGAGGCGGGGTGGCGCAAAGCAAGGCCGAACACGGGCAACAACAAACAGGCAGCGTGCGTTCGACGAGAGCAGAGCAAGACGATCGAGCGGGGGCCGGAGCAGGGACGAGCCGCTAGGTCTGCAGACGACGGGCAGGACCGAGGGAGCGAGGAACGAAGTGACGAAGCGAGCTCGATGCCGAGTCGGCCGCCTGGGCGCCGATTGCTGGGATCCTGGCGAACCACTGCGGCAGCTCCTGAGCCGACCATCCTCGCGGGACGGGCTCGAGCTTCCACCCGTGGCCCACCTCGTTGGGCGGAGCGGGGTGGAGTTTCGACAAGGCGCTCCAGTCGTCGTTTTCCTGGTGCAGCTTGAGGCGGATGAAGCCGTCGCCGGCGTTGGGCATTTTGCCGTCGCGCGACGCGAGGACGGCCATGATGTGGTTGGCGTCGTAGGCCTCGACCTGCGACACCTCAAACATGGGCACAACGTCGTACCTGAAGCGGCCCAACACGGTCTTGGCGGTCCTGTAGCGCTGCGTGTCGACCTGGTCCCGGTGCGCCAGATCTTCGAGCTCGGCGACCAGCCAGGGCATGATTTCCTCCCGGCCCAGCGCGACGTAGTGGGCATTGATCGCTCGACCGAGCGGCGTCGTCGGGTTGGACCGGCCGTAATGCATGGCCTGCAGCGCGCGGTGCGACCACCCGTCGCCATCGCGGTCGGCATAGACGCCGCGGCGCAGCGAACGCGATCGCCTCAGCCAGGCGGGCGGCACGATGCGGCCGACGATATCGTCGCGGCGCGCCACGTCGTCGTCGTCCATGAGCCGGAGGGCATTGCCAAACTGGCGCGCCGGGAAATTGTCCCACAGCGCCATGTCGATGTAGCGCTTGGGCACGCCCGCCTCCAGCAGGTCCGTGACGCGCTGCGACTTGCCGTCCTGGCCCAGCCACGTGTTGACGCTGCTGTCGGTAAAGACAACGTGGGCGTCTGGGTTGTGGCGCAGCACCCTCGCCTCGATGCCGCGCACCCAGGCCACCTGCGCCGCCTCGTCGTACACTCCCGCCTCCTCTGATCCCGCCGAGGCGATGCGGGTGTTGTAGCCGTGGGTGACGTGGAAGAGGTGGATATCAAAGTAATCGTCGTGGGGCAGGTCGACTAGGATCGAGGTATCGTGCGGCGCGACGGGCGCGATCTGGAAGACATCGACCGACTTGCCGCGCAGCAGCGAGTCGAGCGCCTCTCCGCTGTACCGGTAGGCCCCCGAGGTCCGGTACCTGGGCTCGTAGCCCTCCCACGTCTTCTCGTGCGGCGCGCCAAAGGGGAACGGGTTATCGGCGCGGAGGTAGTGGAAGCGCACGCCCGTCTGCTCGGCGCGCATGTCGTGCAGGAAATCCTCGAGGATCTGCTGTGCGAGCGCCTGCTCCTCGACGGCCGTGATGGCCACCACGATGTCGGTGTACTTGCCGCTCAGCGCCAGCACCTGGTGCGCCAGCAGGTCGTCGAGCTTGACGTCGGTGTACACCAGCGCGGCCTTGACCGAGGGGTCTGGGTTCGAGTAGCCTTGGAACTGGATCGGATGGGGGGTCTGGGCGAAGGTCGACGTCGTGAGCAGCAGCAGGGCCAATAGCAGGAAGAGGACGATCGGGAGGGAGTGCGAGGGTCGCATCTTGCCAATGTGTGGGGACGTGGAAAGGAAGGGGACAGCGGGTAGGGGGATGAGAAAGAAAGGATGAGAGGGAAAGGAGATGAGAGGGGAGAGGAGGAGAGATGATGGGGCGATAGTTCTCGACGAGCCGCCGCAAGCCGCTCTTAAGTAGACGGCGGCGACCTCGACGGCGCTGAGGAGCAGCGAGGGGCCACGGGCGCCGGACAGTCAAGCACGCCGAGGCACGACGACGGCGGCGAGGGCGAGCGACGCCTTCATTTGGCAACGCTCATTCGGCTGTCCCACACGTTACGCTTCGGTTCGGCGGCACCGGTCGTGGAGCACCTCATCCTCGACCTCGTCGACGTAGGGGCAGTGTCGAATGACGTGCAAAAGGTGCGCTCCATTCTTGACCATCTAGAGGCAACAGCAGTGTGGCGGAAAGGAAGAGAAGGGGAGGGAAGGGAAAGCCCAGGCAGTCCAAGCCCACCAAGGCAATTGAAAGGCCCACGTACGGCGGCGGGGCGAAAGGGTGGCGCGCATCTTCGCCCCGACGCAGGGTAGCGCGGCGCAGTGCGCAGGTGATGCTATGGCAGTTCCGCGAGTCGATACGGTCCGGTGGTCTCGAGGTCCGCAAGGTCGGGGAATTGACCAACCCTCCGCCTGGTCCGGGGCGTCGTCGAGCCTCGTTTCGGTCCGGGCAGGCAGCCAAATCAGACCGGTGAAATCGGCTCGTCTTCCGAAGACTCGAGAGCGAAGAACCTTCCGGGGCGTGGGCAGCTTGTGTGATTCCAAGGACGACGACGACGACGGGTTGTGGTGGCGGTGGTGAAGGCAGACTGGTGACGGTAGGCCAGCGCCAAGTGCGGAGGGGGGGAGGGAGGGGACGCGGAAAAAAGGTCGGATCCGAGGTCATGCCCAACGTCACCTGGCGCGCAACGGGGCAGGCCATGGGCGAGACCCTGCATGCCCTAGCCTGCCCTGCCCAGCCCGTCGACGCCAACGACGCGGTGCTGCGCTCCGCCGCTGCCCGTGCGGGCGTGCCTGCCAAAGCAAGGCCGACGAAAGCAAGCTGCTGCCGGTGGCTGGACCCTGACGACCTGTCCTGCTGATTCACCCGCGATGTCCTCTCGACCGACCGCCGTACCGCCGTTGCACCGCCGTTGCACCGTCATGCCGCCTTTCTGCCTGCCTGGCCCATCGACCTTCGACGGTCGCTCCACCGCCTAGCCCCCGAGCGTGCCAGACGCCTCTCTCCCTCGCTGCCAGGCAGAACCACAGCCTAGGCTAGGCTAGGGGCAGGGCGAGGGCGGAATGACCTCACCTCTTGAGAAAGCTGGCGCGCGGCGAGGCGTGGTTCGTGCGACGTTCCTCGCTCCCCCCTTCCCCGAGGGAGGGGTCAATCGAGGTGGGGGCGAGGTATATAGCCTTGCTTGCCCGCCTCTCGGCGCCGCTTCTTTGCTTCTCACCACCAACAACACCACTCGCACCACTCGCACCACCAAGCCAACCACTGAAACCATGTCGGGCGGAACTCAGTCACCTCCTCTCCAGGGCAAGGCCAACGATCCCATGGGACAGGTACGTCTTCCGCTTCCGTCCCTTGCATCCTCCCTCTGCCTCCCTCGCTCTCTGGTCGGGACATTGAAGCTGACTCCCCCCGCCCCTTCTGTGATTGCGACTGCAACGACCAGGCGGCACCGGGCAAGGATGCCCAGTCGGCCATTCCGGATAGCGAGCAGCGCGGCGAGATTTTCGGAAAGGGCGAGTCAAAGGACCCGCAGGGCGGCCAGGCCGGCGGTGCCAAGCTCGACGAGGTGCGTCTTCTCTCCTCTCCTCCCTTGGTCCCTTTTCTCCACCCCTCCTCCCCTCCTCCCCCTCCTCTCCCTTCTCCCTCCCCGCCCGAACTCGTCCCTCGCGCCAACACCTTGGACGGAGACTGACATCCCACATCCACCCTTGCTCGACAGGCCATCGACTCGGCAAAGCATGCAAGCAAGGCCGTGCCCGAAAAGTAGACGCCGCATCTCGCCCCCCGTTGTCGTTCGCCCATGCGCCCTCCTGCAATCTAGTCAAACATCCCCAGCGACGGGGACAGAAACCGTTCGACTGCTTGTGCTGCCGCTATCCGCCCGGTCCGTGACGCAAATCGAGACGAGATAGCGCCCTCCACCACGATCCACTCGCCCCTCGAAGCGATCCTCGACGCACCTGTCGTCTCTGTGCACTTTGTCTCTTTCCATCGGCGTCTGTCGTGCCAACGTGTGTCTATGCGTAATGTCTGTGGTGCGACCGTGATGCGGGTGACTAGAATGAACGTGCAAGATCCCTGCGAGGCAAGGATCTGGTATGCCATGGGCGGAGCGAACGAGTCCAAGGAGCGCGACGATCTATGACACGATGCGACGCGGCACGGCACGTTATCAACGGCGAGCCTACTCGACCGCGACGGCGCCGGAGCGCGGCATGCGTCTGCGCGCCGGCGTCGACGGAGCACTGCCCATCGACCACGCTGGCAGTGGTGGCGGCGGGTGGTGGTAGTAAGCTGCTGCCGGGTGCGGGTGATGGCCCATGTAGCCGTACGGCGCCGCCGCACCTGCACCTCCATCAATGGCCGGCGGCAAGTGCTGATGCTGCTGATGCTGATGCTGTGGTTGCTGCTGCTGCTGCTGCTGCTGCAACGTCGGCGGTGGTTGCTGCGACTGGTGCGGCTGCTCGCGCTGCCGCCGCGACCTGATGCGGAAAAAGGAAAAGACCGAGTTGGTGGCGCCAACAATGATGGAGAGCGTCACGAGGGAAAAGACCATCGACTTCCAGCTGACGACGTCGACGAAGCCATTGAGGATCTCGGCAAACGTCTCGGCCGTCACGCGCGCCCGACCCACGACGGCCGGGTCGCGCGCCGAGCACCGCTCCCAGTTGAGGCACGCCGCCGCCAGCGCGGGCGCCTGCATCTCGGTGCCGCACCGGTTGGCCGCGTACGAGGCGGCGCACGCTGTAATCTCGCTCAGCGTGTCTGCAGGGGGGGGAAACCGAGGGAAGGGCGACGAGAAAGAGGGATGGAAGCAGGCAAAACGGGTGCATCGATCAGCCGCAGCGTTCGCCGGAGGGGAGATCGGCCGGGAGGCCGGGAGGGCCACGCGCCGACGGCCTGCCACTCACCCATCTCGTATCCGCGGACTTTTTCGGCGACGTCTTGCTGGACGGTGCGGATGATGCTAAAGAGGAGGTAGAGAAAGGCGGCGAGGATGCTTGCGTTGAAGAGGAACTGGGCGTAGCCGAGCAGCAGCTCTGGCCAGTCGAGGTGGTGGACGGCGCTGGGCGGACCTGCGCCCTTTGACGGGGCCATGGCGCCGAATTGCTGATGGTGATGGTTGGGACCGGCGCCCGGGTGACCGCTGCCGGGCAGGAAGTAGTTGACGATGTTCTTGGTCATGGGTCCGATGCGTCCGAGCGATCTATCGTCATCGTCGTCGTCGTCGTCGTCGTCGACATCGTCATCGTCATCATCTCCATCTTCGTCGCCGTCACCGTCGCCGGGGCCGGAGAGTTGGCCGTCAAAGTTCCTCGCCGACTTTCTTGCGACGACGAGCTGCTGCCCGTGGCGGCGCATGCGACCTGTCTTTGTCTGTAGGCTGCGCTTCCTCTTGATGAGGTGGACCGCGGCGGAGCTGTAGGGGCGCTGCCTGGAGGGAGAGGGATCGCGGGTTGCGCTGCTGGCGCCCTCGTCCACCCAGCCCGAGGACGAGGAGGGGCCAGGGGCGGCGGCGGTGCCATCTTGGTTCGGATTGGGGTGGTCTTGGAAGCGGTTCGATGGCGGGGTGAGGGTGTTCATTTCGACGTCTGCGAGGGGTTCCTGGAGGTGTGGCGTGGGTTGCTTGCTGGGAGTGAGAGGCCCGCCAGAGGACGAGTCGATGGACATGTCTGCTGGGTCCGGAGTGTCAAAGACCGAGGCTGTCGGGCGGGACGAAGGGCAGCGATGGAAGCGAAGACGGTGAGCTCACGAAGACGTCGTGGCGATTGAGACGAGATACGGGCGACTCACGCTGCCTTGGGCCCGCTGGAGAGGTGTCCATGGGAGCCTCTTTTCCCCTGAACCAGCGGTCTCGCATCATGGCGGAGGCGCGGGGGAACGGGGCGAGCGGCGATGCGGGCGAGGTTGCTGCTGCGTCGATGATAATGATGTGCGCGTGGGTCGAGTGCAGAGGTGGACGAGGTGGTACCACCGGTGCGTGTGCGGGAAGGTGGTGGTGGTAGCGGCGAGCAGAGAGAGAGAGTGAGGTGCGCCAGAGAGAACAACACTCAACCGCGGCCTGTCTTGATTTTGCGCACAGACAGCCTTCACGTGAAGCAGCGACAACGGCGTGGCTTTGGCTTTTGGCTGTGGATTTCCCTTCGATTTTCTCCACCTGATTCGGGGCGGCACCCTAACAGCCCAACAACGAGAGCACAAACCACCCTCGAAGCCTCCCTCCCTTCCTTCCCGACCGCCACCGTCACCGCCACCGCCACCACCACCGCCATCACCGCCCGCCCGCGTGTCAACCACCATGCCAACTCACCGCCCCTCGTACTCATAGCAGCAGCAGCAGCAGCAACACCGTACGCCGCGGGCACCACCGACCTCGGGCAAGGCGCTGCGCCCCCATCGACATCATGTCGCTGCCCCCGCTCACACCGCCCCTGCGCTTCTCCTACGTCGCCTTTCCTACCCAGCCCGCACAGCAGCAGCAGCAGCAGCAGCATAACCAGCATCATCACTCGACATCGACACCGGCGTCATCCTCGTCCCACTCGCCCTCATCAGCAGCCGCACCACTAGCGCCACCGCAAGCGTATTCTGCCTCGTCCAACGCCTTCCCCTCGACCTCAACCTCGACCTCTGCCTCGCCCTCACCCTCGCGTAGCACTCCTCCTCATGGTCCACCCGCCCACGCCCGCGAGACAGTCTACCGCGGCGCATACCCAAAGCCGCGCAACCTACGCTTCCTCGAACGCCTCCACCTCCGCACCATCCTCAGCCTCACCCCAAAGCCACTCGAAAACGACCCAACCATAAAGGCCTGGGCTTCCTCGGGCAACCCCACCACCGGAAAGCAGGGACAGCACGTCAGCCTCATACATGTCCGCACCGAAAAGCCAAAGGACGAGAGCGGCGGCCTCACCCGAGAAGGCGCCGCCAGGGCCCTCCTGGTCCTCCTCGACCGCAGAAACCACCCCCTCTACCTACACTGCCTCGACGGCGTCGAAGTCACGTCGACCCTCGTCGCGTGCATGCGCAAACTGCAGGCCTGGTCCAATGACGCCCTCCTCGCAGAACTCGCCCGCGCACTCCGCGACTCGAGCTCCTCGGACTGGACCCAGGTCCCCTCGCACCTTGCCACCTTTGTCTCCAAGTTTGGCCAGCCAGACGGCGTCCGCCTGCCCCCGCGCAACCACGTCCCCTCGTGGCTCTGGCCCGCACCTCACCCCCTCCATATCCTCGCAGACCCCTACGCCTGGGCACCCACGCCAGGCCCGCATCCTACACAGCACCCACACTACTCCCACCTGCATCCCAACCACTCGTCGGCCTCCCTCTCCCGCAACGCATCCCAGGACACCACCGACGGCCAATCGCACAACGGCGACGCCGGCGCTCAAGGCGCACACACAGCCTCCATAGCCTCCGCATCCTCCTCGAACGCCTCGACGACAAAGAAGAACAGTGATGCGGCCGTCGGCCAAGCTCCCCAGCAGCCGCCAGCGACACAGCGGCTTCCTCCGCAGCGGCGGCTCCTACCCATCCAGCACCCCTTCTTCAAGCTTCGCTTCGACACCGATCCCGACCTGCCGCCACCACCGCCCCCATCCCAGCAGACGGCAGCGCCCAGCCGGTCCACCGCGGCGGGACACCTTCACGCCCACTCGCGCGGCTCGCCCTCGTTCAACTCGGCCTCGGGTATGCAGAGCCCCTCGGCCGGCAGCTCACGACCCACGAGCCGCGCCGGCAGACCGACCGGCCACGCCGCCGCCGGGTCTCGCACCCATTCGCAGGCCCCATCCGAGAGCGGGCACGACGTGCCTGCCTTTGGCCTGGGTAGCGCCAGTGGCATCTCGAGCGCAGCATCGTCGACTCCCGGCAGCCCGCGGCGCAGGCATCCCATGTCGATGCCGCCAGAGATTGGTTTCGACCAGCTGTCCGACCACCCTCGTCTGCAGCAGGGCGGCCATGCCCGGCCGCGTCACTCGATCGGCAGCGGCTCGGCGGGCACCAACGTCGTCTCGCCCTCGACTCTGCTGAACGGTGTCGATGCGCACGGCTCGGGGTCCAGCAGCCGGAGGACTCGCCAGGGATCCACCTCGTCAAACACGTCGTCGGGCTCGGCAGAGGCAGCCGGCAGCGTCATGGCCTCTCCCAGCCGGCATCGATCGCGCACCGACTCGGCCGTGACGGCGCTGCCTCGGACGCCTCCGCTCAACCCGACTCCGCTCGGTGCGCTG